ATGTAATGGTCAAGGAAAATATCACATTGCATTTACTAAACAAAATCCTCTCAGTTATACATCAAGAATCGACTGCAACACACCCTTTCGTCACTCTGGAAAACAATGACCTTGAATCACTTCACGCAGCACCAGAAAACGTTACACAACCTATGGGTATATAATATATCTTTTTATCACACGTGTCAGACCATGAGTGATTTCCCAAGAAGGCGGCGGCCAGATATGGATCTAATTCTAGGATATGTTTAAAAAAAAAACACAAAAGGAACTGATTCACTATTCACAACACTATTTTCATCAATTAGTATAGAAGCGATTACAAATGTTCTTGTTTTTTTTTCCTAACCCTAACGTTGTCTCCAGCACCTAATTTCAAAATATGTTGATGAACAGGCTTGCACAAACAGTACATCTACAGATTATGACGATGTTGATGATGATGATGATGATGATGATGATGATGATGATGATGATGATGATGATGATGATGATGATGATGATGATGATGATGATGATGATGATGATGATGATGATGATGATGATGATGATGATGATGATGATGATGATGATGATGATGATGATGATGATGATGATGATGATGATGATGATGATGATGATGATGATGATGATGATGATGATGATGATGATGATGATGATGATGATGATGATGATGATGATGATGATGATGATGATGATGATGATGATGATGATGATGATGATGATGATGATGATGATGATGATGATGATGATGATGATGATGATGATGATGATGATGATGATGATGATGATGATGATGATGATGATGATGATGATGATGATGATGATGATGATGATGATGATGATGATGATGATGATGATGATGATGATGATGATGATGATGATGATGATGATGATGATGATGATGATGATGATGATGATGATGATGATGATGATGATGATGATGATGATGATGATGATGATGATGATGATGATGATGATGATGATGATGATGATGATGATGATGATGATGATGATGATGATGATGATGATGATGATGATGATGATGATGATGATGATGATGATGATGATGATGATGATGATGATGATGATGATGATGATGATGATGATGATGATGATGATGATGATGATGATGATGATGATGATGATGATGATGATGATGATGATGATGATGATGATGATGATGATGATGATGATGATGATGATGATGATGATGATGATGATGATGATGATGATGATGATGATGATGATGATGATGATGATGATGATGATGATGATGATGATGATGATGATGATGATGATGATGATGATGATGATGATGATGATGATGATGATGATGATGATGATGATGATGATGATGATGATGATGATGATGATGATGATGATGATGATGATGATGATGATGATGATGATGATGATGATGATGATGATGATGATGATGATGATGATGATGATGATGATGATGATGATGATGATGATGATGATGATGATGATGATGATGATGATGATGATGATGATGATGATGATGATGATGATGATGATGATGATGATGATGATGATGATGATGATGATGATGATGATGATGATGATGATGATGATGATGATGATGATGATGATGATGATGATGATGATGATGATGATGATGATGATGATGATGATGATGATGATGATGATGATGATGATGATGATGATGATGATGATGATGATGATGATGATGATGATGATGATGATGATGATGATGATGATGATGATGATGATGATGATGATGATGATGATGATGATGATGATGATGATGATGATGATGATGATGATGATGATGATGATGATGATGATGATGATGATGATGATGATGATGATGATGATGATGATGATGATGATGATGATGATGATGATGATGATGATGATGATGATGATGATGATGATGATGATGATGATGATGATGATGATGATGATGATGATGATGATGATGATGATGATGATGATGATGATGATGATGATGATGATGATGATGATGATGATGATGATGATGATGATGATGATGATGATGATGATGATGATGATGATGATGATGATGATGATGATGATGATGATGATGATGATGATGATGATGATGATGATGATGATGATGATGATGATGATGATGATGATGATGATGATGATGATGATGATGATGATGATGATGATGATGATGATGATGATGATGATGATGATGATGATGATGATGATGATGATGATGATGATGATGATGATGATGATGATGATGATGATGATGATGATGATGATGATGATGATGATGATGATGATGATGATGATGATGATGATGATGATGATGATGATGATGATGATGATGATGATGATGATGATGATGATGATGATGATGATGATGATGATGATGATGATGATGATGATGATGATGATGATGATGATGATGATGATGATGATGATGATGATGATGATGATGATGATGATGATGATGATGATGATGATGATGATGATGATG